CTATTGCCTTGTTGACATTGCGTGGCGTCATTTATGGTCACTTGGGTCATTAGAGTTTTTCATCAATAACTACCCATCAAATTGAGTTAGCGAGTCGGGAAAGCCACCATTAAACTCAGGAAGACCTGCCGATTCGAGTAATATGTAACATGACCTCTTTCAACCAGCTTCGTGATCTGGGGGCGCTGACCTGCCCTTGACCCGAGGTCAACACCTCAAGTTGACCTCACCCGAACAAAAAGTATACCATTCGACGCGCCTGAGCGAGGTGAGCACGATGATGCCAAAATCGCGGCTCTCCGACCGTTTTTTTTTTGTTGCGAAGTTATGAAAAAACTGAACCCTTGCCCTTGGTCACTTGACCTGACCTCAGAGGACACCGGTTGACCTGAGACCTTAAAATCGGGTACCAGTCGCTGCGTCTTGTAACGGCGCACGCGCTTGTCTTTTTCCGCGACGCTCTAGCTTCATCAGGGGCGAAACGGCGAGGGAAATCGCACCAACGACCCCGGCCGGCGCGTATGTAGAAAACCAATAGGTCCTGGGAGGGTTTATGTATCATTGAATGGGAACATGTAACATGCTTGCACCGTGCTCAGAAAGGTTCAGAACAGCCGTTTTCACGACGGTTGACCGAAAGCGCCAAGCTTCACCAAATCTCAAGAAACCTACCCTGAAAATTCCATGAACCTGACCCAAATGACCTTAGATCTGTGACCTTTTTTGGGGGGACCATGTCGGGGGCCATAAAACATGCATCGCACAACCCTAGTAAAGTTGGGTTCATGTGCTGACCCTTGGTGACCTGACCTGTGACCTGACATGGTATTATCAGTGACCTCTAATAGCAACATATATACTAGGCAACGTACGCCCTATTGCTGATTTTCGACAAAATGCGTTTTGCTCTTTGTTATAGCGTATTCCCTAGAAGACCTGTGAACGGCGAAACATTTATCTTTGACCTGACCTGTGACGTCATCGGTGACCCCGAGGTCAATGAAATTGGAGTTCCGTCGACAAATTTGACAGGGCTATCGAACATCGTTTGAATGTTACGGATCCGTCCATTAGTTTCGGAGATACGGGAGGGGGGCAAAAAAATGCCTCCCCCCCACCGCGCGGAAGGTGGCCGGGAGGTCCACCGCCTGCCCGGTTGATGAGAGCCTGAATGAGAGAGAATGTTTTTAGGCGAGCTTTTAAGGAATTCAATCAAAACACAAAATGAAATCATGCTACAAATTTCATTGCTTACCTCAGGAATGAAATCAGCGAGGGAAGAACAGCAATATTTTTAACCAGTAAAACGCCTTTTGGGGCGACCAGCAGAGCGAGCGAGAGGGTGGGCCTTGGACAAGCGAAATTGCAAGGGACACCTCCAACTAACTTGTGCACTGCACCCTACTAACCGGTCCCGAGCGATGTGCCAAATTTGAGCGCAATCGGCCTAGCCGTTCTCGAGATCTGGAAGCGGCACCCTGCACGTGCGCACGTGCAAAGTGGGTCCCAACTGACTTTTGCACGGCACCCTATACTAACTGGTTCCTAACCATGTACCAAATTTCAGCACAATCGGTTCAGCCGTTCTCGAGATCTGGAATCGACCCCTGCATGTGCGCACGTGCAGCGGCACCCCAACTGTGGCACATGGATATGTATTGCCTAGTGGGTGCCTACCTACATGCCAACTTTCAGCGCAATCGGCCAAGTAGTTACCGAGATATTGCAACAATTATAAAAGTGACACCTTTTCGTTTTGCACGTGGCACGTGCATAAGCGGTCACCCACATGCATCGAGAATAGTCCAATACTTGGTAGAAGGAATGAAGCTACCCTAGAAAAATCATCGAATGTAAATCGGTCAAGTGGTTGCTGAGATATAAGCCTCGCAAAAGCGTAACCACGGCCGGCCGGCCGCTCATACTCAGAAATTTCCGTTAATCTACGAAAGACTACGCTTGCTTCGCTCGCTCCGTAATAATTTCTTCAGACTATCAATGCCTCAGCCATATTGGCACGCTACTGGCTGAAAATAAGTTGCTTAAAAAGACCCACTGAATCGCCACGATTTTAAGTGCATGTCATCTCTATGTATATAAGATCTCTATGGCTGCCGATGCCTTGAAGACCGAGCAAATTTGTGAGGAAATACGCCTTTTTCCAGGGCGTGCCACGTGCGAACCATCCACCCCCCGGGACTCGCATCTCGACACTGCACGTGCGCGTGACGTCATCAACATCGTGTGCAAATTTCAGCCCAATCGACCGCACCGTTTGACCTGTGCACGGCGTCAAAGCACCCCTCTGCACGGTGCAAACAGACAGACAGACAGAGTTTCATTTCACAAATAGTATTCCTGTCCTTCCAATAAACGAACGGTTCGTAACGGGTATTTCAATTATGCGTTCATAAGCGTTCTGTGAGCAGTGTTCCGGGGCCTTTTTCGGAGTCTTGCATCCTGAGACGTGTCCAAGCACAGCTGCCGCTGGCACGTCTGACCCAAAGCACTGAACGACGGGCATGGATAGCGTTAACTGATCCATCTTCAGAAAACGGTCTATGTATGTATATTCAGCCACAGTAATATTCATGTGAATCCACGACGCCCCGCCAATCGAGAAGAGAAGGGCTTCGCTTCTAAGAAAGGGCGTCGTCGCAATTCATGAATTATGCATTGATTCTCAGGCGTATTATGCTCTATTTTTCGCCATTCATGGATCCGCGTTTCAGTACCTAAACCAGCAAGATAAGCTTGTCTAGGTTAAAAATCGTTCTCGTTTTATTCACTTCTGACGCAGGTGTTTGGCGAACCACACCCATGGTATCCACCTTCTACATATTGTAGCCAGCCCAAACGATCGGATCGAAATCAACGGAGCGTATCCGACTATATGGCCCTTCGAACACGTTTGGCACCCCTTTCAGTTAACTCAGCATTGATCGATTGTGCGGTATAAGCTGGGAAGGAAGCTGTCCATTGTCCGAGCCGTGTTCAGCGTGTGTGCTAGCCTCGTGTATCTATTCAAATAGTTCAAGCTAAAGAAAAACACACTTGGCAGGCACAAATATACACACATCCAGGGGTGGAGATCTGTCAAAATTTCAGGGGGGGGGGGGGGGGTCCAGGCCGGGCAGATGGAGGCGGACTGGATGCATGGTACCATTGACTTACATAGCAGTAGTTCGTTTTCAGGGGGTCCTGAGCTGATCCCCCCGACCCCCCCCCCCCCCGACCCCCCCCCCCCCGAGATCTCCACCTATGCACACATCGCCTCCAATTAAAGGGTGAGGCTTCCGCATTCCCCAGGCCTCGCCTTGTGTGCTGCTCGACAATGCAGACACAATGGCATGAATTGACCGACGCGATGGCTGTGGTCTGTGAAGAGCACACCAAGTTATTTATGATGGCAACTCGAAGTACATACATCATCCTCGTACATAACAAAAACTGGACTCGCGCGCCGATATGCGAGGCATTAAAGGGTGGTCCGATCGAATCATATCAATCCATTTATCAATCACTGTCAACAGGGTTTAGTGATGTCAGCTGGTGACAGCTATAGAATTCTTCCATTCTTGTCCAGCATTCCTGGAATGTTACCGTGTCCGGCGCCGGAGCCATGTCATGATTGATGGTGTGCGTACCTTTCAGCTGTCTTCACGGACGGGGGTTTTGCGGCTAAATTTGCATCGCTGTAAGCCAATGGCCTTATCTAGGGGTGCTTATTTTAAAATGCTTACTACTGCCTTTAATTTGTGTACCTGCCTGTGTGGCGCGCGCGTGTGCCTAGAGCGTGTGTATCAGATGGTCAGACTCAGGTCGTGTCAAAGCAGCTAACCTTCCCCGGCCAAGATGGGAAAGAGGGTTTGTATGTGGGCCCACCCCTGGCGTTTTTCACAGATTGGTTGGAATGTGTTAGGTAAAGAGAGCTGAACGTTATCATATCTGTAACCCGACCTTTGATGGCTTTATTGGTTTGGTTACAACGATGCATTGAAATAACTGCAGGCACATCTTTTCACATTTTGCTCAATACCCTCCACTTATGGCAAATATTGAAGCCGACTTGGCGCAAGACCTAAAAATTGGATATCTATCAATCGTCACGTCTCATAATGGCTCACACACCCGTTTCGGCTTATTCAAAGGCGAAAAGGCGGGGATTGATTGTCTTCATACAACCTTTTCCTCGGCCTTAGTATGCAAATAAGGCCCATAGGTTCATTAACTTTTATGCCGATAGTGTTAAAATAAATAGGCATTCCGACAGGGACCCAAATCATGAAATCAATTGCTGGTCAATTTATTTTCTTCCTTTGCATAAAATATGTCGATTGCTATGGGTTACTCGGGGAAATGTGTGTTATAAGTCCGTTTTGAAGGCTGCCTGGCGTGTCTGCAGCGGCCACTAAACTGCTCAATATTCTCCGCCGCCGATAGCCATCGTTGTCGGTAATTTACTCGCCGTCAGTTCTCTGTGCGGGTCTCTGTCGTCCGCCTCGGGAACCTGCTCATGAATTCGAGACGTGTTCAGTGTCTGGAAAGAGTCAGTAAATACATTGAACAGCCACAATTTATTGAGATGTTGGTGGTCGTAAAGTGCAGGGTGGGACAAACATTTTTTTCTTGTCCATTAGGTTAGGGTGAACGGTGGGCTGGGTTCCGCGACGAACAGATAACAGCTAACGCCGCGTGACGCCGCCGTTATTTACATCTTTCCCTTTTTACTACCACTCAGAATTACCCGATCGATTTATAAGCCGGCGGATACCTTCACCGTGTGTACGGAAGGGTGGCAAAAACGTTCACGTTGATCGGAGCATCCAATCCAATAACTCGCAGGCCGTCACAGCAGCTACCACTAGACCATTTACGGGAGCCGCTACTTATCCTTCAGAATCAGCCACGGGGAGCGGTAGGAGGTCTTGATCAAGATAGCCTACCGGGCGGGCCCGGCGATCACGAACCCTCGCCCCCGGCCGCTCCTGTGGCACTCTCATCAGGTGCCGTCCCTCACCTAGGTAGGTGGCGCCGCCAGCGGCGGCGGCAGCCACGCGAACCATTAGTTGGTGAGTGGACCGCAGTCTGGGGTCGGCCCGGCGCGGGCCCTGGTGGCCGGGCCGGTCGGCGCAGGGTGCCCTCCAGCCCCCGGTGACAGCAGGAGCGTACCGTCCGACCGAGGACCCGCGCCGCGTGCTCACACCATCAGACACCATGCCGGCCAACAGACTCAAGAGCGGCGAGGACACGCTCCCCATCATGGACCCCTTCTTCACGGTAAGTGAACACTAATCCTGCTAAAAACGAGAAAATAAGGTTAGGCAATTAGCATGCTAATGAAACATTTAATGAGGAAGGACGTCTTTACATGTTTTCCGCTGCTCGCTCACGCATAGTTGGGATCTGGAAATCAACAACGCTGCCCCGACTCGGCTACCTCACGTTACCGGGGCCCTGGCTTTGGGCGCGGCTTCTGCTCATACTTTGTGGTGCGGTGGTGGTGCGTCGGGCTGCGCGCTCTGACTTCGGCCAAGAAAAATGCGTCAGCTGATCATTGTCATTTCTGCCACTTGCGTGTGGTGAAATGGGGTCATAACTTATGAGACGGCTTTTTCATATCAATTATTTTACATAAAATCATATTTCAAACCATAAATAATGTTCGACAGCCAAATAAAAGAAACAATACCAATACAGGCTTACAGTTTAAGGCTCGACATTGTGTTGTCTACGATTAGACAGCTGATAACTCATTCCCGTACGTCGTAACACTATAATGACCTTTGCTTATTGTCACATGTGCGCCGCATTCGCGATTGTTGGCGACGCCTGTTTGCAGGTGAACCCACTACAGTTGTTATACATATCGAAAAACCGATAAACTTTTAGGCGAAAAAGGCACTATTCCAGGCCCATTTTTGATTTTTTTTGCGATATTAGGTAAAAACAGAAGCTTCTTATCCTAGGAAAAATAAAATGGGAAATCTTTCAAAGGTGGCACACTACCTTTAACCCTCACCGGACCTATTGGTTTTCTACATACGCGCCGGCCGAGGGGGGGGGGCGGGTACGACCCCCCCCCCTCGCCGTTTCGCCCCTGGTGGAGCTAGCGCGTCGCGGAAAAAACGAGCGTGTGCGCCGTTACGAGACGCAGAGATTGGTACCCGATTTTAAGGTCCTAGGTCAACCGGTGACCTCTGAGGTCAGGTCAAGTGCCCCAAGGTACGGTTCAGTTTTTGGTGGATAACTTCGCAAAAAACGGTCGCGAGCCGCGATTTTGGCAGCATCGTGTTCACCTCGCTCAGGCGCGTCGAATGATATACTTTTTGTTCGGGTCAGGTCAACTTGGGGTGTTGACCTCAGGTCAAGGTCAGGTCAGCACCCCCAGGTCACGAAGTTGTTCGAAAGAGGTCATGTCGCATATCATTCGATTCGGCAGGTCTTCCTGAGTCCATTGGTGGCTTTCCCGACTCGCTAGCTCAATTTGATCAAGAGTTATTGACGAAAAACTAATATGACCTTGATGACGTCATAAATGACATCACGCAAGGTCAACATTGCAAAAGTGACGCATCTAACCTTGCAAGTAGTGCATCAAATCACGATTCTGTGTGCTTGAGATAGTTGGAGATCGTTCCCGGCGCCAGAATAGCAGTTTTCATTTTTCCCCATTGACTTATAATGGTGAGGTCACGAAAATGACCTGACCTCATATGACCTTTAGGAAAAATCCGAGATATACAAGTTGTGGGACTCATAATGGATACTAGATCCTGCAAGTTTCATTTCCCTGTGACATCTCCTCTGGCAGTGAGGGTGTTGCGAAGTTGCGACATCTGAAGACCGTGCAGAGGTTCACTTATGACGTCATAGGTCAGTGACCTGACCTGACCCAAAAATGCGGTTGGTGTCAAAAGATGCGGCTTGGATCAAAGGTCAGGTATGCCAAGTTTCAGCTCTCTATCGCCAGCGTGTTCGGAGCTATCGCGAAAAAAACCCTATGGGGGGGGGGGCGGCACCCGCCCCCCCCCCCCTCGGCCGGCGAGGGTTAAATGACGTCATTGAAATTCAGGAAACCAGTCTGTTATGCATGCCCATTGACCATGCATGTTGCATAACCTTGACTTAGTTGCGGTCGATTGATGATACTGTATCAGCCGATTAACGGAAAATCGCCGTTTTAGGGGGTAATGACCACCTTCCTTTTTCATAAGTCTTATCAGCTTGCTTTTTATGTCGATTTCGTCGACTGTATTTCTTGATCCGTCCCCGTCCAAAACACCTTAGGACCTGATGGAGCGAATGTTCCGCTCATGTCCCCCCCCCCCCCCCCGGGTCCCTCCAGCTCCTGAAGTTTACACAGTCGTCATTGAAATGAAAATTCAATGAAATTTTACTTCTGTCTTCGCACGTTTTATCTCACATATCCCGTAGTCTCAAAAACAAAAATGACGCGAGAAGTATGATCTTATGTAGTCAAATCCATGGTGTGGTCGTGGAAGTCAAATTTCCCGAGGGATTATATACCCTGTGCTCAGCACGAAGCATCTGGAGCCGCCTCATATCTCCCGGTCTCTGTGTCCGGCTCCTGTTATTTTCCTGTCCAGGAAATAAAATGTGTGATGCGTCCCGACTTTGATTCTTTCCACATCGGACTGTAAAACACCAGCTGATTTTTTCTCGGGAACACTGCGCCGGGTGTATACGATTTATCAGCTAATATCAGAGATGTTATCTTATATTGGCCGTGTCTTCACATTGATGTGCGTGCGGATTTGTTTGATGTGCAGAGAAGATGCGTTACCTTGGAGTTTGGAATCCCACTGTAAATAACAGTGTAATAATGGCTGTGAAAAGTTGCTGAATGCTGACTTCGTCACCTCCACTAAGAAAGCTTTAGTCGGGACCGGTTGTCCTTCTCCGTGGCTCCATTACGCAAGGTTGCAACTTACTCATGCACGTACCCAGGCCACAAAACCGTATTTCGTGTTTCAGATAAGTCAGCGAAGTGGGTACATGGGTGGAGAATGTTTGAAAAAGTTACCCCGGCCGGCGACCGATAGTCGCGGGAAGACGATATACTCACGTTGTTCTCAACGGTCATCATCAAACCCCTATTCTGACGCATGGAATAGGATGCTGTGTTTGCTCAAGGATGAGCGTTGTATCCGACACCGTATTATTCATAACATTTTTGGAATGATCGAAAAGGCAATTTCCTTTTAAATTATTATTTCTTTTTACTTAAACTTCCAATTTCACACCGAACCCAAACCAAACCATATGCCATTTTGAGTACCTAAATGTTGCGTTTTCAGCTTTTTATTGTGTCTCAAAATAGCTACAAAAAGACAACTCACCATAGTAGAAGCTTTACAGAGAAATTGACAGATCGAACCAAGCAAAGCAATAAAATAGGTCACTGACATCCACGGGCGTAGCCTTTTTCAATGTTGGGCGGCTCTTATAATACAAACAGGGAGTCGATCCAGGAATATCGATCGGTCCCGGTCTCGTAGCTCAGTTGCTAGAGCGTTGGATTCCGCGTGGCGAGAGCACGCGGCCCGGTTACAACAGTCCGAGTTCGAAGCATGATGGCCGCTCGGTGTTTATGAGCACCCTGACGGGTACGCTCATAAAGGGGTGTGGTTGCGGTTGGTGGCAGGTCAGTTGAAGGCAATGAGGTCAAGCAGTAGTTTTGAAAAAGTGCGCCGAAGGCGCGCCAAAATTTCGAAACTGAACAGGATTTGAGAGCAATCTTGGCATTGGCGACCACACGCGGGTCTTAGGGTTGGAGATTATGGCAAGTTAAGTAAATGGTAAATTTATAGTCACCGTGGTAAATACCTACCTGATTTGCAATATTACGCCCATGGAAGTCAACATTCGAAGAGCGGTGAGTTTTCTTTTCTCGTATGGAGACAGCTTTTAGGATTTACAAGAGTAGAAAAGTTACCCCGGCCGCGCCGGGGTAGGCTGAAAGTTACCCCGGCCACGGCCGGGGTGGCCGGGGCAGGTTCTCCACCCATGACATGGGTGGAGAATGTTTGAAAAAGTTACCCCGGCCGGCGACCGATAGTCGCGGGAAGACGATATACTCACGTTGTTCTCAACGGTCATCATCAAACCCCTATTCTGACGCATGGAATAGGATGCTGTGTTTGCTCAAGGATGAGCGTTGTATCCGACACCGTATTATTCATAACATTTTTGGAATGATCGAAAAGGCAATTTCCTTTTAAATTATTATTTCTTTTTACTTAAACTTCCAATTTCACACCGAACCCAAACCAAACCATATGCCATTTTGAGTACCTAAATGTTGCGTTTTCAGCTTTTTATTGTGTCTCAAAATAGCTACAAAAAGACAACTCACCATAGTAGAAGCTTTACAGAGAAATTGACAGATCGAACCAAGCAAAGCAATAAAATAGGTCACTGACATCCACGGGCGTAGCCTTTTTCAATGTTGGGCGGCTCTTATAATACAAACAGGGAGTCGATCCAGGAATATCGATCCGATAGGCGTTATCACAAGTGTATTCGCGGCCATTGGGGCGACGTAAGAAAAGAAGAAAACAACTGGCCCCAAGAACTTTAAATTATCAGTTAGCATGCACCTTTTCCTTGATGTGTAGAGATTTTACCATTAATTGTTAGAGAAAATTGCATTTAAATCTTCCATTTATGCTTTTTTCATCGTTTGCACAATATGTTTTTTTTTTACTAAGCTAGAAACACTAATTAGAAATAGTTCCCGCTCATCGTCAAGAACAATAGGGAAGGCTTGAAGTTAATACAATAATCTAAACGGTTTTGTAATCTATGTGAAGACACTTCTAAAATTGCCTGTAGAAATATTGAAGGCAAAAGTTCAACTTTTTCACAAGACTGATGTCTATAAATCTATTCAACGTGTGACAACTCAGCCGGTATTTCGTCGCCTACAGCCCAGCTTTCCCTAGTGACCGATAGAGGCGCTGCTATCGATGTCCGCCCGTGCCGCCTAACGCGGTCCCGGTCTCGTAGCTCAGTTGCTAGAGCGTTGGATTCCGCGTGGCGAGAGCACGCGGCCCGGTTACAACAGTCCGAGTTCGAAGCATGATGGCCGCTCGGTGTTTATGAGCACCCTGACGGGTACGCTCATAAAGGGGTGTGGTTGCGGTTGGTGGCAGGTCAGTTGAAGGCAATGAGGTCAAGCAGTAGTTTTGAAAAAGTGCGCCGAAGGCGCGCCAAAATTTCGAAACTGAACAGGATTTGAGAGCAATCTTGGCATT